CAGGAAGCTGTATTCATGTTGCATCTTGGGCAAGTTCCACTGTAATGGGTGGATTACAAAAAATTTTGGGTGTGTAGCACTGCCCTGTTGAGTACCTGGGTTATATCTCTGCAGCTTGTGTTGCTCCTGTGTCCTTGTTTCTTCTATTCCATGAAAGGCAGAGAGCCACTGGAGGAATGCTGGTTTCCAGAGGCAGGGGTACTGAGTGGGCCGGTAGAAGCCAAGGGGAATATTGCCCTAAGGGATGCGAAATCTGCACCGCATGTACCTTGCAAGGGTGACTTGGTATCTTCCCGCCCCATATGCCTGTGGTACCAAAAGAATTCTATACAAGGCTTCAAACCTTTGCAGCTTCATTTTATCATAATGTTTCTGCCTTGTTGTTCTGACCGCATCAAAGTGTTGCCTCATTAGTACAGGAGGCCCTGTGGTAGTCTTTTCCCACAAAGCTTAGGATAGAGAATGAGGACACAAACTGGTAAACTGTTTAGAGATGGCAAAGCTTCTAACTGTTAGCTCTTTTTTACGGTTGCAATTTGTGAGCAGTAGACTCAGAATAATATTTATGTGTCCAGAATAGGTGAATGGAATATTGTTTTTGTTCTTGTTCCTGTACTGTCAGATGTGTGACTCCACCTCAACATTTACCAGGATTTGGGGAAGGAGGAGGAAGCCTTTTCTTGCAGCAGACAGATGGAGAGAACTTTATTCCATTCAACTTGGAATCGCTAAAACTTCTGTGTTGTCTCTTTTTTCGTTGCAGATAGCTGCTGCTTTATGGTGGTATTATGTCTCTAAAGGAATTGAGTATTTGGATACAGTATTCTTCATCCTGAGGAAGAAATTTAACCAAATCAGTTTCCTTCATGTCTATCACCATTTCACCATGTTCACCTTGTGGTGGATTGGTATTAAGTGGGTTGCAGGTGGACAAGGTGAGTTCCTTTCCTCCCATACCCTTTTGACAGGACATAAGGGAGAATTATTACTGTTTGGGATCAATGGAAAAAAGTTTTCATAGACTTAAACATTATAATATACAAGACTGTTTAAACAGCACTGAAGCAGTGCAGTAGCTTTAATGTGTACAGTCTTCCTCTCTGGGAAACGTGGGGGAGGAAAAGATAACAGGCCAATAATCTAATGAATTGCAAAACTTTTTTTTCCTTGTGGGCATTAATTGCAAGCCTGAAGTTCTATCTTCAAAATTATCCTTGTTCTGTATGAAATAGAAAGATGAATGTGTCTTGCCTAACTTTAATTTTTGCAGATACAGAGAACTGCAAAATCTAGTTATGGGCCACAATCTGTGTGCAAATGTAATGAAGTTAATGGAGACATTATTTTGGCATTCTATCTGAGTTTGGGGTTTGCTTTCTTTTTTGTAAAAAGAGGCATGTATAAAATTCTGAAACCTTCACTTGAAGGTGAGCCAATAATTCTGTCAATTAACTTTTAAAATTTATTCATAATGACACAAGTCTATAATTCATTATCAGCCTTCTTTTTTCCTTGTTTCCTTTCTAAAGCCCCCATCAAAGAACTTTATTCCATTGTACTTGCCACATGCTCCCTTGCCTGTCTTGTACCCTTGTTCCTATTGTTTTGCCTTCTCTCTCTCAAATTGTAAGCTCTACAGAGCTGAGGGTTCAGGGAAAATACCCTGGATTGTTTGTAATGTGCCTTGTAGGCTTTAAGACACTGAAAATAACATACAGCAAACAACAGACCAAACTAAGATTGGAGGGATTTTTGTGAAACCACACTAATACTTAACGCATGAGCATTTTATGTTCTCATTTACTACAGATATCTTGTACTGAGAGGTTACTTATATTCAAAAGAAGAACTATTTAAAATTAGTATCTGTGACTATCCTTGATTTTCTCCCAAGTAATCTGCAGGATGCAGGTACTCAGCCAGACGCTTCCTGATCTTTATTGGCTACTGCACCCATAAAAAAGTTTATTGAAGATTGGGTGCATACTGTAGTCTTAGTTAGAAATTCCCTGGATATCTCAAAATGCCCTCATCCTTGTTGCCTTTTCAGACTTTTCATGCTAAATATCTGCAGTTTTCAATACAGCAGTTGCAACTATTTCCAAATTTATTTCAAGTTTTGGTGTTCTTGCACTGCCTCTTAGTTTCTAGCCTCTGCAAAAAGGAAGAGCAACAGTTGCTCTTCTGCATTCATGTAGCACTATTGCATGAATGTGGATAGATCTATGTTCTTCTGTTTTCTAGTTGATAGCACATTGCTTACATAGACAGATCTATTATAAACTAGGCCCTGTTACAACCAACTGGGTCTAGACCACATGGGCATCTGAGCTGTTTGATGTCAGCACCTATTGTCTGTATCGCCCTAATCTTCTACATTAGAGCCTTTTCGAGCCTCTCTGGCTGTGTAAGAACACCTTAACAAGATAGAATTTGTTTCTGTTAAATGGCTGCTAATCTTGACAGAGCAAAGAGATCTTAATGCAAATGAGAACTGTTGTCTTTGTTTCCAGTATGGATCATTCTGGAAAAAGTTATTACTATACATGTATATATTAAACAATGCTGGATATTTTACCTCATAGATAAGGAAACCAAAGATGAACAATTTAGACAAACTCACTTGGCAATGCCCTTAAACATCTTATAACCACAAGTGAAGTTTTGCTTTGTATAATTTTTTTGGCCTTTTTAA